GCACTTAGCCCCGGCGCGGAGCTGAGCGCGCCAGCTGCGTCTCCGCTGCGGCCCGGAGGCCGCGTGGGGAGTGCCCAGGCCCGGCGGGGCGCTGCAGCTGCACCGCTAGGTCTGCAGCGTTCTCGGCTGGAGAAGCCCTGGACCCTGCCCGCCTCTGAGTAGATGGTGACGTGTTCCGGGGCAAGGCGCTTTAAAACTCTGAATTCTTACGCCATGCAAACAAAAACGTAATCCTCGTGAGTCTTTAGAGAATTTTACTTCCTGAGGAGCTACTTTAGTCTTCAACTGTAACAGCCTGTTGCTCCAAAGGATCTAGATACAGTTTTTAATAATTTCTGCTTCTGGCATTCTAAATCCTTTTATGTGGAGGACTTTGCATTTCTCTATTTGTTGCCCTCGATACTTTTACATATTTGTATGCATCTGGCTGCTGAGTTAGAATAATTCCCTGCAACCAGATTTACTATTATGGGCCAATTCTGCCAGGAATTCAAAAATCATGCAAAAGCTGGTTAGAGTGTGGTAAGGTAATATTCGAGATTCTGGGGTGCTGTGTGGATAGCTTAACCTCATGAAGCCCTTGGCTTAGTGCACGGACAGCGTGGCCTCACCCTCACCTCCCGGTCCTTCTGCAGCCTGGCAGAGTAGACTTGCGCGTCCTCTCTGCGGCGTCCAGAATCAGACCTGAGGCCTCAGCCTCTCCTAACCCGTTATCATGGTTTCTTAATCTTACAGGTAACCTATAGCCACAGAACTCACTTATTTTCAGTTACAATAGAGACGTTCAAAAAAAGACTGCGGGCCGGCCTAAGAGCTCGGCGGACTAAAGCGCGGGTTTAGGCAGAGCGCAGCGGCGGTGGATCCCTGGCGCGCAGCGCCGGCCCGCCCACGGGCGCACTGAGAGATTGAGCCTGGGCGTGGTGGTGCGCGCCTGTAATCTCAGTTTGGGAGGCTGAGAACAGGATCACTACAAGTGTGATCTGTGTAGTTGAGACCCTATAGGCCCTTCCCTAAACTACGGGACTAGACTGCTCTTGGGCCCGCTGTATGTGCCTGCTCCTGCCACTCCAGTCCCGCGTCCCCCGCAGTGAGTGACCTTAGCACACCGATCAGTCACCCTAGCTATTCATCGTGCGCCTTCCCAATCACTGATGGAGAAGGCAGCAGCTTCCTTCTCCTAATCAACCTTTGTCTTTTCTCCATGTTACCCAAGAGTACCCCTGCCAATTATTGTGTAGCTTTATTTTAATTTTAGAAGTGCTACAGCAACAATTGACATTTGCGTAGCTAAAAAATTTACTGCGTCTGCCAACAGCGGAACATTAGCAAAGGGAAATTTTTCTGTACCATTTCAGCATGGATTGTCAATAACTTGTGTTTCTAAGACTTTAGAAATTTTAAGCAAATGTTCCAATATTGAAACATTTTAAATAACAAATATCTAGAGAATTCAAAATACAAGGAAAAAATAATCCCTAACCCTAATACCACTGGTACCATTTTGGTATTCTTGCTCTTCCTCTCCATTCCTCTCTCCCCCTGTATATATAGAGGTGTCTTTTTTTTTTTTTTTTTTTTTTTTTTTTTTTTGTAGTGGCTGCCTCTATGCCCTGCCTCACTTCAAAAGGTTTACCTTTTATGGCTGTTTTGACTTTGGGGGTGAGCTAGAAGTCACACAGTACCAGATCTGGTGAGTAAGGTTGACAGGGACACACTGCTTTGCTAGCCTGTCATTCTGCAGGGTGGCGCTCAGCAGTAGCCATCGCCCGTGCTTGTGGGCATAGTCTGTGAAGACGCTCATGAGAGGGCTTCCAGAGCCGGGAGTGGTGGTGCATGCCCGTAATCCCAGCATTCGGGAGGCTGAGGCAGAAGGGTTATTGAGAGTTCAAGGCAGCCTGAATGAGATCACTGTCTCAAAAAAAGGGGGAGGACTTTGAGATCTGCTTCAGGAAGTGGCCAGAATGATGAAATGAGTGTGCTCGAAGTGAGTGGGAATCTTAGGGGAGTTAATGACAGTATTTCTTAAAATGTTTAAACGTCATATACCACGAATTTAGCTTTCATTCTTTTCTACGTTGGAATCTTTTCAGTGAATATTTTAATAATTCCCTGACATTAAGAGGGTATAGCCATAAAGTTACATCTTCGTCCCTATCTTTACACATCCACGTTGCTTCTCATTGTCCACTATCATTAAAAAAATTGCGAAGGAAATATGCACGCATGTAGCTTCCTCCTCGTATTTTTAAACTACAAGCTAGAACACTTCAAATACATAGAGCATAGCATTTGGGGAGGGTTGCTTGAGATACCCCAGACTGCTTTTGAATTTGCCATCCTCCTGCCTCAGCCTCCTGAGTAGCCGGGATTACAGGCTTATGCCACCATACTCAGGTGGACCTGCTGTTCTTGGGATAAATGAAAAGTTGTTTTTCAACTTCAGTACACTACAGCCAAAACTGTAATGTCATTAGGTGATTTTTTTTCTTCTTTGAGACAGTCTTTCTGATCTGGCTGACCTTGAACTCACTGTGTAGCACAGGCTGGCCTCAAACTCTGTCCTTTCTCAGCCTCCCCAGTGCTGAGATTCCCACACCTGGCTGAGCTTTTTAGTTTTTATGTCAAGAAATAAGTATATGCAGGCTCTCTGCATACAATGCATGACTAAATTATATTAAACGTTGAGATTTTATGACCTGACCACTCAGTAATTCTGAAATCTGAACAGAGAGCTAAAAACTTTAAGAAAAACAACAAAAAAAACCTTTCCTCTTTTATCCACTTCATCTGGAATACTGCAGCTGCCCCAGATCTTCCCACATCTGCTCAGTGGTCTTTCCAGCTGCCTGCCACACCGCACCCAAGTTATTTATAGCACTAGGCTTTGAATAACTGAGCTCTGTATTGCTTTGGTTAAAATTAAACCCCAGTCAAATTATTCTCTTCCTTGAACCCTTTAAGACAATTTATGATGTTGGAACATGTTCAAGATAATGTCTACCTATATAAGATGGGTGTGAAACACGATCAGGCACTGGAATTTGGACGATAAGGATGGATAGAAACAACAGTTTCTTTGTCTAACTGACATTTGACCTGGGCGGTAGTACCTGCAGATCTTGAATTTATTACCAGAAAGGGTCAGTTGAGAGTGATTCCTCAGGAACTGTATGTTAAGATATAATTGATTTCAAGGACAACCAAAATTACTTCATAAACATTTCTTTCCCTAAATAAATTATATATATATATATCTATCCTGGGGATTGAACTCAGGACCTTGTGCTCGCCAGGCAGGCACTTGTGCCACTGAGCTGTCTCCCCACTGAGCTATCTTTCTCCCCATTTGTTTTTTGCAGCGCTGGGGATTAAGCCCATGGCATGTGCACTGTCCAGACTGGGCTCAAACTTGTGATATTCCTGCCCCAGCTTTCCAGAGATTACTGATATATACCACCAGCCCGAGTAAGTAGCTAGCTCCCTAGAAGACACGTCCATTTTATTATAATTTATCAGAAAATTGCTTATGATCATGCTTGAATACTTGTCATCTTGGTTTTCTAAATGTGTACCCTTTTTTTTTGTGTGTGTACCCTTTCTAATGTCATATTATTACTATCTTCAAAACATTTTTTTTAAAAAAAAATGAGGGACAAGAATAAAAATTTAAGGTTTCTGGAAAACAAGCGGTACTATGCAATCATATGTCCAATCTTGCATAACTATACCTGTTAATCTGAGCAACAGATTTGATGATAAAAATAGATATCAACCATTGTTAATCAGCTGTTCTTATTCTGAAAATCTGTAACATGTATTGTATATTACTGTTTCTGTCATTGTGTCTGATTTTCTTTTGTCTTTTCAAAATGAAATAGTAAAATTTAATTTTTAAAAAGGAAATTGTTTATACATTTTATCAGGAAAGTGTATTTCCTTCCCAGCGGAGATTTTTCCCCAAGTTTGAATCAATTTTGCTGCACCATAATCCAATTTAGTTTTAAAATCTCAGAAGAACCCTTCCCTCTCCCAGCACATACTGCTCAGGCCAAGGAAGGGAAGAAAACGGCGCGTCCTCCCTTTCCCTTGGTTTCCCGGCCGAGCTGGGAAGTGGAAGAAACAGGCCTGGGTCTGGGGCTGCAGGAGGCAGCAGGCGGGCTCCGGGCAGGTGTCGGGGAGGCGGCCTTCCTCCCGGCGCCCTCCGCCCCGGCGCCCTCCGCCCCGGCGCCCCCC